AAGGTTTCTCTGTGTAGCTTTGCGCCTTTCCTGGAATTCACTTGGTAGCCCAGGCTGACCTCGAACTCACAGAGATCTGCCTGCCTCTGTCAGATACACATATTTTATTTAATTGCAATAACATTGCTATATTCATGTAAGTAGAGCCACACAGTCTTTCTTGCCTAATTTCAAATTATTTCATCAAAGAAGTATTTCATGCATTTTCAGATTATTACTAGGATTTTACTCTGAAACTACCAAAAAAAATACCCCCCCCCCCCCAAAAAAAAACCCAGCTTTTTATTTATGTTGTACTGGGTGAATGGCTCCACATTACAAATTGCTTTCTGCCAAATATGAGGCTCTGAGTTTGGATCCCAGAACCCATGGGAAATGTGGAGTGTGGGCAAGCATCTATAACCAAGCACTGGAACGGAGGGGCGGGGGGTATAAGACAAGATCACTGGGGCTTGTTGGCTATCAGCACAACCAACAAACAGCCACACTAAGGTTCCATGAGAGTCCCTGTTACAAGGGAATGAGGCAGAAAATGATAGACTAAGAAACCAGCAACCTGCTGTGGACTCTCTAAGTGTACAAGTGCATGCAACCCCGCCACAGCATCCTTTTTATGTTTATTTATGAACGTGAGTTCTACTCATCTGTGGCCTTCTACACTTTAATTACCCACTGTGAATGTGCCCATTTCCACTTACAGAATTTGGGATTATAATAGTAATTATACCTGTGACCAGCTTATTGCTGCCTTCCCATATGCCCGGGATTGCATGCCACTTGATGCCTTTTATTCACGTAAATATCACAGAGATTTTAATTTTTAAAATCTGAAGTGATTAAAATAAGACATGGTTGACACAGAATGAGCACCATTTTTCATTGAAAATGTATATCATAGGCTTTCCAGGAATGTAGTAGGTCAAAGTGATTGTCTGCTAAGAAACCAATAGTGTGTACATCTAAAGAAAGATAAAATCTACAAGCTTAAAACTTCACGTAAAAATTTTCAGCTTACATATAAAACTGCCTATATTTATCATATGCACATGCTATTTTAAAGCATGTAAACATTGTGGAATGTGTGTGTGTGTGTGTGTGTGTGTGTGTGTGTTCTACCTAATGAAAATATGTATTGTCTCACACAGTATTTTCACAATTAGAACATTTTATATCCAGGATCATGGCTTAGGTGAAAAATATGTTATTTGTTATCAACTTTAATTTTAATGTTGTACAATAATTCATGGTTAGATATTTGTGTATCTATGTGTTTGTATGGTTTCTGTAGATATGATGTGTTGGCATATATACATACATAGGTGCATACCTGTGCATGTGTGTGAAGGCCAGAGGAGACCATAGGAGGATATCAGACACCCTACTTTATTTCTTTCTCTTTATTCCCTCAAGAGAGTGTTTCTTATTAGACCTCGAGCTAGCATGATAGCAAATCCAGCAGTCCTGTCTCTGCTCACAAAGCATTGGGGTTATTATGGACCTGCACCTGACCTTACCTGGACATTTATGTGGGCATTGGCATCTGAACTCACGTTCTCATGCTTGAGCAGAAAAGCATTCTTATCAGCTGAGCCATCTCTCCAGCATCTAGATACTGGTTTTTTGTTGAGTATTTTATTTCCACCAATAGAAATAATATAGGAGTGCCCAAAGGACATGGATGTGAGATGTTTAAGTACCTTAATTTTCATGTAAAAAGAAGCCTGGCTCCTTAATTAGCTAAAATTTAAAATTTAAAACAACAAGGAATATGATTTTGCTAATTGTAATTCAAAGAAATTTTAAAAGCTAGTGCATACACTGCTCTCTACTGGCCTTATCGTTATTGCAGCTATAACCAGTGTCGTATTTGTAGTTATGTGAGGTAATGAATTCTGTTTATTTCAAAGGGCTCATAGAATTTTAAGTGCTGTTGATTTATACAACATGGAGAGTATATATATATATATATATATATATATATATATATATATATATATATATATATATGAGAGAGGGGGTGCGTAAATACTTGTTGAATTTTTATAGTGAAGTCAGTGCCAGTTGAGGAGTCTGTAAATGTGTAGTTAACAAGTATACTTACCACTAATTATGTACTAACAGGAAATATAAAATGATGGATATAGACCATCAGCTCTAAGACATAATGTGTTTCAGTTCAGCTAATAAACTATGGCCATGGCTACAATGCTTGCTTGTGCTTTCTCTCTGGAAACAAGTGGAGACCTCTAAGGAGCAGGATGGCTGGCTATGAATATTCAGTAATTTACAACGTTGTGACCACCACAATGAACTCCTGCTTCTTTTTCCTTACATTTGCATTCTCTCTCCTTACATTGCATCATTTGCCTCCAACAACTTCATTGGTGCTCTTTGAACACACAGGAGAACATTTTGATAGTAGTGGTTATAGGGGGAGAGGAGAGGGAGAGAGAGGAGAGAGTTCTTATTCATTGTATACTTCCATGTTAGCAATAAAGACAAGGCAGTATTCAACAGTACTGCAGACAGTCCATGTCCTGATGGAATTACTAGTATTTGTGGAATTATTACTCAGTGGAAACAGTTGCAAATGCTGTTAAATTAGGAAAAGGAGGTGGTGTAATTTACACTAGTGTATAAATTGATCTGAGGATTCAAATGGTCTAGAAAAACACATTAGGGATTTATGATTCCATCCCAAGAGAAATGGAAGACAATAATGAGGTTATATAGGAGAGTAAGTAGGCTAAACATATTTAAAAAGAATTATTTGAATGCAGTATGTAGAGTGATTGGAGCACAGGGAAAAGGTATATAGTTGAAGAGAACCGTTTAATAATGGAACCCAGGTGAGAGAGTTTTGGTGTCTTGAACAAAGAAAATGAAATTTAAATTTGGTAAAGTGAGTGCATACCAGACCTGTTTGGGAGTTATCACTGACATGTCTTGGTAAGAGCTTAGAGACAAGGAAAAAACAAAACAAAACAAAACAAAAAACCCAAAGGAGACAAGATAGCAGAAATAGCAGAAAACCTTCCTGGTATTTTTTGGCATGTAAGAATGGATAAATAATCTTGAGAACATTGAAGAAGGGATTGTTTAGGGAGAAAACAAGATGAATGCATGGAGTTTGATGTGGCTTTGAGGTATGGAAATGGTTATGTTGTTGGGGATATATTCATCTTGTAGTTTAGAGACTTCTGAACTAAAGCTATAAACTTGAAAATAATAGAATTATTTTAGTGGAGAAAATACATAAAGGAAAACTGCTGAAGTTTAATTTAAAATATATTATTAAAATCTCATGAAGTCCAATAATGTTTTAAGCTGTAAAAATGTAACAAATGTCAAATTTGGCCAACAATGGAAAATGAAACACAGAGAAACCACTTTAGTTCCCTAAATTTTCCTGGCTAAATCAAGAACAGGACTGAGACCATGTATTACCCACTCCAGTGTCTTTCTATTACACTGTTATTATACTAGATTTTCAATTATGTAAGTAGGAGGACAATGCTTGGTTTTCCACCATATACCCACTGCATAGAATAGAACTGATATTTAGCAAATATTTGGGTATGTGAAAGAAAATATGTTCCAAAACAATACCACTTAGCGGACTACCTGCATTTTAAATACGTTTTTAGTATGGAAAACTGACTCAATGTCTCCTGATTGCTCATTTTGCATAAGGCATTTGCTCTACTATGTTCTACGTGTAAAGGATAAGGAAAACACGCCCCTGTCCTACATACACCTGTAATTATTACAATCATCTACCAAACAGGTTGGACATCATATAAGCCACAGCATAGAAGGCAGAACAGCAAAGTAGTGCAGAGAGTGGATAAGTCTTTGGAAATTCGGTGTTATTTATACCAGCTCTTCACAACTAGAGGGTTTTCAGATGGGGTAGAACTGACAGGCATTTCAGCGGGACTAAGCAATATGTAGAAACGTCCAGTTAGGGAGTTATGACATGCATTTTTTTTTTTTTTACTCTTGAAGCCATAAAAAGTGGATTGCTTCAACAGTAAAAAACTTGACTGGAACAAAACATGAAAAAAAAGGTAGCACAATATTAAAAAAAAAATGGAAGAAGCTGGTAGGAGCAGAAATGGCAGGTGCTGGACAATAAAAAAAGTTGCTATATTATATGCTTAGGGAATGATGGCATGTTCACTACAGTTTCAATTTGTAAAACATATTTTCTGTTGGTGGTTGATGAATTTTCCAGATGTAGAGTCCAGAAACACAAAGAGCCAACCACATCAAACTTTTGATGTCTGTCAATCAAGCTTGTAGCACACAGGAGCATGGAGAGGCTTGGGTCTGATTCTAAACACTCAGGATTTCTTAGCCCCCTTCAACTTTCCTAAAATATCCCCATATATGATCAGAAAAAAATAATTCTATTCTTCTTTGAAGTCATTCTGATTTTTGTAGTTTATCTTGTCTCCCAGTAGTATTAAAGCATGGTGCCAGTGAAATTGCTAATGGCTTAGGTATTACGGATTTATAAATGAAAAGGCAGTAACAAGATTGAACTATTTATTCTTTTTGTTTTTTTTTGTTGTTGTTGTTGTTGGTGGTGGTGGTGGTGGTGGTGGTGTGTGTGTGTGTGGGGGGTGTTGCTGAAGATTGAACCCATAGCCTCATATCTATTAACCAAATGATCTACCCCTGAGCTACATACCCACCCTGAAATATAAGCTATCTGGTTGGTGTAGGAGGATAGGACAAAGATGAAATGATGATATTTCCTGAGGAATTAAGGTATTCATTAAGGGAAGCTTCAGGGGAATAATGAAGAGCCTGCTTCATTCCAGACGAATGAAGATAGTTTCATTTTCACTGTAGAGTGAGGACGGATTTTAAAATAATGGTATGTTCATTCACTTGAAGCGTTTGGAGGAAAATGAACTAGAGTAAGAGAGTGTGACTATGAAGATTCTTCAGTTCTATTGCAGTCACCATTAACACCAATTTTACAATTGCAGGGGAAGCCGGGGATAACTGAGCCCACACATCACTGAACCTGCAGAAACTATATCATCAAGTGGGAATCCTTTAATTTCTGCACCTCAAGCTTTTCACATGTTCACCATGGATGTCCCCTGTAGATGAATTTCTAAATGATCTTATTAAATAAAAACCATGGAGCCAGATATAGGGGTTAAAGCCTGAGAGAGATCAAAGGAATAGGAATAGCTACAAGCTAACCTCACTGATACCTAAGCTTCCAAATGTGAGTGACTTCCTGTCAACCCATGCCTATATGCCTTGCTGTTCTGCCATCTGATTTGCCTTCTCTGTCCAGCTACATCACTTCCTCTTCCTGCCCAACTCTTTCACTTCCTGTCTGTCTGTACAGACCTCCAGACCTCTGAGGTTAACTAGTGTTGGAATTTAAGGCATGTGCTACCATACCTGGCTCTGTTTCCAGTGTGGCCTTGAACTCACATAGATCCAGACAGATCCCTGCCTCCCAAGTGGTAGTATTAAAGGAGTGTGCTAACATTGCATGACTTTTGTGTATACTTATAATGGCTTGGTTTTTCCTCTGATCTCCAGGCAAGCTTTATTTATTAAAGCACAAGTAAAATATCACCACAGTCCTCCATAATAGTTTTTTTTCTGTATAGTGACAGACACTTTTATTCAGATTGTTAGACATATAATCAATGACATTTATATATGTACAACATATATATGATCTGGCCTTTGTCTTTATGTAGAGTGTATATAAATGTTAGAGCTCTTGACACCGTCTACATCTGTGTAAGTAGGGTTTTCACCTTGGTTGATATAAGAAAATATTTAGGGGATAGATGAGATGGCAAATGAACAGTTTTATATAAGTGCAGCTCATAACTGTAGTGATGTGAAGAACTCAAGCTGAGTTGATGGGAGTGTGGGTGGAGGTGACAGCCAGGTTAATTATTGCATTCAATATCATTCAGAAGAAAAAAATGGAGATAAAATTGTAGCATTTATATTCCTGGCTTTCAATTTTCTTTCATCTCTATGTTGCTTTTATTTTTCTGTTCCTATTATTTATATCTCATGTTTGATTCCCGCCCTCCGGATTCTTTGTGAACGGATTTAGTTAATAAAAACAACTTTCCATGACTTAAAAATTAAGAAAATTACATCCCTTTATTCATTTTCCATATAGAATTGGAAAGATAGTTCCATGGAAAAATTCTCAAATTGTCTGCTTGAAAACTAGGTCTTTTGAAGGGGGAAGTGTGCTATGAGATGTGTCCATGGGTTGCTATGGGTTTTAGGACACCAACAGTACCAAGCCTGTGGGTAATTTTAATTATTACCTGACATGTCATTTTTCTTTCTTAGTTGATTTCCAGCCATTTGGAATTAACTCCCAGGAATGATTATGGATGTTTCTTCTATGTAATGAAAGAACTTCTGTCTTCATATGTGAAGCTTCCCATTTTTAAGGAATATTCAGCTTTACAGTGTGACTTAGAGATGAATTGTGGTATAATCATGTGTCAAAGACACTATATCCTAACATGCCACAAACTTCAGGTTGAAAGTCTCCTTCATTTTACTGTAAAATCTTGTTAATTGAGAAAGTCCCTGGTTCTGTAAGTAAAAGTATTCTTTTTAGTTATTGCCTATGTACTTTCTTTCATGTCCTCTTTCTCAAAATAGCTCATATTTATATTTGTTTTTATTTGCATATTTGTAATCAGCATTAATGTTGACTTTGCAAATTCTCACTATTTGAGAAACTCACGATTTATATCTGATATCCCCTCAAAGACCATGCATTAACGTCATAGTGGTTATCTGACCGGCTTTTGGAATGTAATGGTCATCACAAGTGCTTTAAGCTCACCAGTGGATTGACTCATTGATGATTGATTGTTGGTGGATTCATACCTTCATGACTTTATTCAGGGGAGGTAGAAACTAGAAGATGGTGCCTAGTTGGAGGAAGTAGCTCATTCCAGGCATTGCTTTGAAGGATGTACTTTATGTCCAGTTTAATTTCTTTTTTCTCAACTGTATCTCAGCTGTGATGAGAACTTGCCACCATGATGTTTCTGCTGTGTTACTGCCCTACAGATTGAAATCTCTGAAACTGTCAGTCCACATTGTTCCTGCTGTTTTCCTCAGATATTTTGGTGTAGCAACAGAAAGCTAGCTCGACATTCTATTATTGTGTTTGGAAACAGTTTACACGTATGACAAGAGAATTGTAGTCAGCAAAAAAGTAATATAAAATCTTTTATGAACTGTAAATTGCTATACTCTTTAAATACAAAAGAGCATTTGGGGGCACTTTCCTACCAAACACAGGACCCTGTATTACTTTTCTTGTTGCTCTGATAAAATGCTAGTGTTCAGCTAGCTTTATCTTTTTTATTCAGTGTAGGAATCCAGCCCACAGAATACTGCTACCCAATTAGGGTAATAGTCAGTTGATTTAAACTAGAAAACCCCTCATAGACAGACCCAGAGGTTGTGTCTTCTAGGTGGTTCTGGATCCTGTCAAATAGAAAATTAATATTAAACACCATAAGCTATAAGTTCAATTCCAGACATTATAATTCTCAATATTTGATTCATGTACTCTAATTGTACACATTTATAGCCTAGCATGTGATGGCATAGATGCATACATGTGATCTTTAATGATTAGATCAAGCCATTTAGCTTTTACACAGTCTGAAATACAAATAATACTTTTTATTTGTGCCTCAACCTTTTTAAGGGTGCATTGGAAAATTACTTTCCATGAGTTACAAATTTTAGGGGTTATTATATGGAAATAAATTTCAAAGTAAATCTATAAGGTTCTGAGATCATATACATTCAAGACTGAAATTACTTTACTTCAAAATTATGTTTTTGGACAAAATCAGTCCTATTTTGGAAAAAAAATCGTTTTAAATTGTCATTGAACTTATGAAAGCCTGGGTGCTTTCTGAGGTTGAAATGCTTATATTACTGTATTAGTTCATTAAATTCATTGTGTAATTTTGAAGACTTTCTTTTGTCTGTATGGAAAGTGTTATTATTTGGTCATTTTTATGCATATGAAATTATTTAAGCCAATTAAAATATGTGAAGGTGTCTATGTGAGCCTCAGCAGTACTGTTACTGACACGAAGTTAGATCTTTTCCAGATGTGCACAATGCAATGAGAATAAAAATGTTTTTGTTTTTCTGAAGAAGAAAATTGAGGTAAACTTCATCTTCTCAGCATGAAATACCTACTTCCTCAAGAATTTACTTAATAATGCCATGGCATCACCCATGATTTGGATGTTTTCATGTGCATAAATGGCAAACTGGGCAACAAGTCACTGTCTTATTCTACTTGTGCAGCTGGAATATTTGAAAGTTAAAAATCCAACAGTTTTTACTTGAAATATAAATGTGAAAATGTGAAAACAGAACAGACACCACCACAACTGACTCCCAAGGTTGATGACAGACAGAAGGCGTTAGAGCTAAACACGCCCTTTTTTAATGATCTCCTTGTAAGTGGGAAATGCCACAGTGACATATTCAAATTCGATTCTTGTCATTCTCACCATACACAAGAATCTGCCCACTGCAGTTCTAAAATCTGAATATCACGATATAATTTGGTGCATCTGAAATGTATCTGTGGATTTAAGTAAAAATTGTTTTTTAATTATTTATTTGTGTGTGTGTGTGTGCATGTGTGTGTATACATGCAAATATTTGTGCTGGTGCATCTGCACATGCATTTGCAGGTGTGTGTGTGTGTGTGTGTGTGTGTGTGTGTGTGTGTGTGTGTGCGTGTAGAGATCAAAGGTCATCCTTGGGTCTCATTTCTAAGGTTCAGTCAACTTTACTTATTTTTTTTTTATTGTGTATGAGTGTTTTGCCTGTATCTATATCTGTGTGCCTTGTGCAAATCGGGTGCCTGCAGAGGACAGAAGAGGGTGGAGGATCCCCTGGAACTGAAGTTATAGATGGTTCTGTGGGTGTTGGGAATGGAACATGCATCCTCGGAAAGAGCAGCCAGTACCATTAACCACTGAGCCATTTTTCCAGTCTCCAACCTTCCGTTTAATGGCATGGGTAGGTCTGGGTGGCACACTTGAATGTATGTATGTGTACGTTCATATATGAGTGGGTTCACATGTGTGCATACAGAAGACCAAAGATGCTGTCGAGTGTCTTCCCTGATGAATACCTTAAACATCTATGTAGCCAGCATCTCTCAAGAAACAAGAATGCTCCATGTTGGCTAGTCTCACTAGCCAGCTTGTGCCAGGGATATTTCCTGTTCCTTCTGCACCTGGGCTGGGGCTAAAGGCAGGCTGCCATCCCCACACAACTTTTACTCCAATCCAAATTTGAGCAGCTCACGGTTTACCAGCTGAGCTATCTCCTTATGATCCCTCTCCCCCTTAAATACCAGGTCTCCTACAGGCCTGTAAATTGACAAAGGTCTATCTGTCTCTGACTCCCCGGTGCTGGCGTTATGGTGCATACAACTATGACCTGGCTACAAAAAAAAAAATTAGTTTTAGGGTGGGTAGATGAATCAGTGAGTAACAGTGCTTGCCATACAAGAGTAAAGACTGCCAGAACCCACATAAAATGGATGCTATATGTCTAAAATCCTGATGCCCCAAAGGTAAGATGGGTGGCTGGAAGAGACAAGAAGACCCCAGAAAGCCTCTGGACACAGCAGCAAGCAACAAAGTGATCCTTCATCAAATAAGAAGGAAGATAAGGACTGACCACCAAATTAGTCCTCTGACCTCACATATGTAGCATATGCACACCTCACACACATCCACACCCTATACAGAAATTTTTATAAAGTGAATTCTATTGGTTAGTATTCAACCCAATTTTAAGTTAATCCAATACTGAATGGCAGGAAAGCTTTGTTGCTCCAGGAAAGGGAGTAAGATGCTCATGAATATGACCATGGACAGTTTTATTTTGCTTTGTTCACATGCCTGCACATGGTTGTGAATGAGTAATGAATAGACAGAGTAGAAGAAAGGAAACAGGAAAGAAAAAAAATGAATAACTAAGTGGAGGTTTTATATAGTAACAATACCGCATGTGGATTAATATTACTAAAATGTCTAGCCACTAATGGTTGTTACCTGTGATTAACATATCTAAGTACCATTTTATGGAGCATTTGGCATCACATTACAACCTGCATGCAATTTTGCATATTATAGTAAGATTGCTTCATAGGAGGGTTGATTTCTAAAGTTAGTAAGGCAAAACTTGCTGTTGAAATCCCTAATATTGCCAACGAGATCTGAGTTGAACATGTGTACTTTTATATAAGAATATGTGAATACATTAAAATTTGAGAAGCACTACAATCAATTTTAGTCAAAACCCTGGATAGTAATTTACTCATTGCTCATTGGAAATGTAGCTTTTAAGAGTGTCTTTACTTGGAAATGAGTCTGCTTATTGTGAGTCCCTGATCCATAATTTATTGGCTGTGCAATGTTGGTCAAATCATTTAATATATTTTGCTTCATTTCCACATCTGTAAAATTGTAGTATAATTGCACCTGTAGAGCAAGCTGTACTGGGGGATCAAATGAGGTAATCTATGTAGTGATTTGATGCAATATCTGGCACGCAGTAAATGTGTTTGCTATTCCTCCCAACTTTATGATGACTATAAAATTTCTAATAGTGGACAGATGATGGATCAGAATTGTAAAAAAGTTCTGGATCCTTGAATAATTTATTCCATTCCTTTTTAATGAATCAGCCTCTGTAAACTTAATGAACACATATACAACATTTCTTGGGAAGAGGTAAGAAGGCAAATATTGCCCTGTGCACAGTAGGTGATGCTTTAGTGGGTTTTAATTTGAATTTTGAGCGAGTAGATTGGTGGGACACTATTTGCAGATGCAATATGGAGATACCCTAGGCTGCTTGCATCTGATCTTTCCAATCTATCAGTACTATTTGGAGGCCCTATTGAACAGGAATTAGTTCTACACTTTTAAGTATAAAATACAGATTAAAGACAGGCTAGATTCTCGATACAGTTCAAAATTAAAATATACTGATAGGGTGATTCTACTTCCCCAAAACCAATTAACTGTGTCCTATTGCAAATGTTTTTAGTTAGAGCCTACATTTTACCTGGTCACATATCACAGATTTAAAAATCCCAAAAGGAATGATACTACTTGTTTTGTTCCAGAGTTCCCAAAGTCTACTACCAAGCTTGCACACACACACACACACACACACACACACACACACACACACACACACATATCTGAGAGACAGACAGACAGTCAAACAAACAGACAGACAGGTACACTCTTCCTGTCTCACTCATTGCTGACACTTTGGTCCTTTTGTAATCCTCATGGCTTTTCGGCTGGTTTCTGAGGCATTTGTGGAGTCCCAGTCTCTGCTTTTGCAAGGGTAAGGTTTCTCTTTTCCTCCTGGAAGCACGATGGCAGATGTATTATATTACTGGTATAACCAGTCTGAACAGCTTGTTTAGTTAACCAAGAGTTGTTCAGCACTGCAATACCGGAGATCATGCAGTAACCTTAACATAATAATAGGTGAGCAAGGCACACTGATTTCATGATGTTGATGACCTGGAAGGGAAATTTCAAAGTATATTAAGAAAACTTTGTTAGAATATGTGCCAGTGGTGTGAGCCTGAAGCTAACCTATTTTGTAGATTGTTAGGAAAAGCACATCCTAAATAATATATGGAATATTTGTGTGCGTTCAAGTATGTACAGTACTCTTATTTGAGTGGCAAGTCTGGCAAGTTGAGAAGTCATCACGGTTTCCTTGCCCACTTCTTTCTGTGAGGGGAAGGTCAGTAAGAGTCTGGCATGTTTCCTTTGTTTTTCTCATTCTGCCAGTTTGTTACACGATCACTTTGAGGTCACCCTTTACTTTAAACAGGGCAATGAATGAAAACCTTGTTTCTCAGACACTGACCCCGTGTGTCATATTCAAGTACAAA